CATGGTGTTGCTTACAGACCAACGATAAACAGAAAGAAATATCTTACTTTACTATTTTTTATTAATGATACTTCTGACGGTTTTTTATAGTCCAGTACTGTACACATATAATATGTATATATACGTATATGTATATATATAATATGGTTAATATGATAAATATAGAAACTTTAATTAGAAAAAGCAGGTTGACGTTACGTACTTACTTACTGAACTCCTGATACATGGCGGAACCCCACAGATGAAATGTGATAGTATAGTAAGGGAACCTAAAGGAACCTTGACTCATTTTGTACATCAGGTGTAACTCTGACTCGCTTTTCAAAGAGAAGCCCTGACAAAACGTCTAATGAGGTCGAGGTGTCATGGCTGCCATGTGTCAAAAAGTCAAAGGATCAAACTGAAGCTTCATTAAGGGAGGCTGAATAATTTACAAGGGCTAATACACACACACACACACAAATGGCTGCAATTACTCTGTAGAGCTTATGTGCACATTTAAGCAACTCTAAATATGTCCTTAATGAATAACACATGCAAGGACACACAACCTGTGAACACACAAACACACCAATTTACTACAACAACAAAAAGAGGTAATTGGATTTGCTAAGTGTCATGTGACGCAGTCAGTGAGGCGGAGTCAGTCACGGGTCATATGTGAGTCTAATCAGTTTGACCTATAGAGTGCCTCTCTTAGTGGGTGCTGGATATTAAACGTAAAGTTTAATATGGATATTAAAGTGTAAAGTATCAAAAGAGGTCTTTCTCTTTAAAGTGTCTGTTATCAGTATTTTTAGTTATTGATTAGCCATGATTATAGACATCCGACTGATGACAAGCAGACATAATTAGCAGCTAGCCTGTGAAGAAAATGGAGACTGTAGAGACAGATGAGATGTAGAGACCCCAGTTAGCTGCCTTTGTTTAAGGATCAATTTATAACAAAGCAGAATTTGACTGAACTGAATAACTGCTTCTTCTGCAGTTTCCGTATTGTCTGTCATAATAATGTATGTACTGAATGCTACATGTTTTTACTGCATATCGGTATAGTTTGGGCTGTGTTCCTCCCACCATTTACATACAAACTAAAATTAGCTGGTAGTAAGTAAGTAAGTTTTTCTCCCCTTTACTCAATCAGTCTGTCACTGTTGTGCATGGATTGTGTGTGTGTGTGTGTGTTGTAGGTGTGTGTGTGTGTGTGTGAATTTTAACAAGCAAGTTCTTAAGTGTCTGCTACTCCTTTGATCATGTTAATAGGTAAAATAATACCTACATGTGTGATGGTGTGTGTCCTAACATGAACACATTCATTCACACTCCAGTACTTCATTGGCTGTAATAAAGAAGCAACTTTAAAATGACATTTGCCTACAAACATATTTGTTGAATAATGACCGAAAAAAGGCAATGATGAGCATAATGAAATGTGCATAAATAAAGAAGATTCCATGACAAAATGTGTGGGGAAAACTCTTGATGCCTTTGTGTTTGTACATGTCTTTATCCGTTTAGCCAGTGTACAAAGCCAAGAGAAGAAGTTCTACTTTTTTTTACTTCTCAGGCTCTGTTAGAGTGAGAGCCTTTGTGACTATCTCTGCTGAGAAGATCTCCCTGGCTGACGTAGTGCCAGATGGGTCAGCTCTCTTTTTGCCTCTGTTTGCTTTCATTTGATGGGGATGTTGATGTATACGGAGTCTCATTCCAGGTGTTGGTGTAGCCAACAAAGCCTTACAGGAGGCTTGAGGTTTTTTGTATCTATGTGGCATAACGCTGCAGGCCAAGCAAGGCAATCAGGTCCACTCTACTCAGCCAGGTGTTGGGCAGAGCCTTGACCAACATAGCTTTGAGCGGCCAGCGCACTTTACGGCTCCGTTTTATTTTTTCCTTCAGGTCTTCGTGGCGTTTGAGGTTTTGGCTCTCCTCATCAGTATCAGCAGTTGTTGCTATTTTAAGATTGATAAACTTATTTTTGGGTAAAATCACTCTGACTAGATCAAATAGAATGGAACACAAGTCCAAAATGCGTTATTGAATAAATGATTCATTATTTCCTTAATAGTGGTCATTTCGGGAGTCAGCACACATGTCAAATGTTCCTGTGTGCTGTTGTTGTACACAATTCATGCAGTGCACTCAAAATAGTGTCCGAGCAGATGGTAAGCATTTGGATGCTTGTTTCTTATTTGTTTCTTCTTTTCTATTTAATCCAAATAGAATATTTTTTATTCTGTTCAAGATTGATATATTATTTTCTATAAATGTCACTTGCTGGATTTATTTTAAAGGTTAATAAGTTTACTTTTGATTAAATATGTTCTATATAATAGCCTTACCTACTGTTGGAATCAACGATAAATAATTGATTTATGGTTCTCTCTCTCTTTCTCAGGGTCAACAGGTGACTGCTGATGTCCAGTCATAAGGACAGAAACCAAAACCATGGTCATTCTACAGCAGGTAAACACACACACACACACACATTAACATGACAGATAGCTGAACTTTAGCAGTAACATAGAAAGTTGTGTATCTACTATGTGGTCCAACAACACTCATTAAGGATCAGCTACTCATTACGCTGCAATTTTTCCACTGAATCCTCTTTGTAGTCAAACACACACACACACAAATCAGACAAAATGTTGGATGTGTGTGTGTGTGTGT